GTAGGCAGCGGTGAGTAGAGAGTGGGGGGCCCTAGCAGGGCCAGGGGGCTGTGGGTGGAGAGTGAAGGGCACCTGGGGGGGGTGGGGGGGGAGGGCTATGGGTTGTGACCAAGGGGCCATACCGAGGAAATGGGGTCATAAATGGGGTTGTGCTGAGGAAAAGGTTGGGAAGCACTGGTCTATGGCTTACTGTGCATCATCAGACAAGCTTACTTTGGCTTGCTGTTTAACTCTGATCCTTGATGACCTAAATGAGTATTCTTGTAAGTCCAGGTCCTGTTTAATAGGTATCTGTCGTTGGTGGAAGGAAAAAAAAGAGTAATGAGGTAAATACTGGTGTACTCATTTTCCTCAAATTGATGACCAGTACCATGTCTACTGACCACAAATACGCAGCTGCATCAAAGAGAAGCGTTTTGCTATGTTGAGCTCAGCAATCTTTCTCCCATGGTTGCCTTGGAAGATGCACATTATTGACCTGAATTGCCTTGGCATCAGGCACAGTGAGTCATAGCTGAACTCTTGAAAGCAAGTGCTCTTTTAACTCAATAGTTAATAATTTAAAGGGAGTGAAGTGATACCTTCTTTCACCTTTGGTCTTGCATGAAGTGAAAAATACCTCACATGGATACCGGGCTGTCCTTCAATTGACTTGCATATGCCTTCTCTTTAGAAAACTGATATATTCAGGTGTCTTGTTAGCCATCTCTTGACCCAGTAGTTTTGTGGTCCACTCCTGCATATTTCCTTGTTCAGGCTAGAACTGGAGTCAGGTGATTTGACCCACCCTATGTCAAGGAGGTAAGAGATGTTACAGACGCTTCACCCTAGATGGCATACCTGGCAGGGAAAAATAGTACCAAAAGAGCTTCAGATGGTTCACAGAAAGTTGATCTACTGAAACTGATTGCTTACCTAGTGGGAGGTCTTGATATACTCCCTGATATAATTGAAGTATGATATGGATGTAAAGACAGTTAAAAGCAAAATGCAAAAAAGTTTCCTTGCCAGAGTGAAAGAGCGTGATAGAAAGTTTAATTATCCCACAAGGGAGACACTTCCTATATTGCCATTTTCAGAACACAATTGTGTGGTGATAATTCTAGTCACTTAAAGTAGTTCTTTAATTTCAACTTCATTCAGGATTTCTTATTGACTTTGACATCCAGAAAATGGCAAATATCAAGTTCTGAAATATGTCATAAAAACACAATTTGAAAGCAAAAACGGGTTCTGTATAAGAAAGTGTTGATCTCCCTTATATGACAAAATAGATAATTGAAGCTGTTTCTCCTAAGCATAGCTCTTTAAAATGAGCTTTGAATTTACAGAGTCCCAACTAGTTGCTACAAATTAAGAAGCAGGAAAACTTGAAAAACTAAAAGAATGATTTTGAAGCTGGTGTAAGATGTTTTGTTGAATATCAAGAATGATCTAGTAATATTACATTAAAGTATTTAAACTGAAAAGCAACATAATTAATCTTTTACTTGCATAAGAGGAATATTAAAATCCTATTTTAAAAATTACCACTAATTTTAGTTAGGTGTAGCAATTTGCTAGATGTCTTATACAAAGATTAGCTTCAGTATTAATCTTAGATTCATAGATTGTACAGTCGGAAGAGACCACAATGGATCATCGTGTCCAACCCCCTGCCCCTGGCAGGAAAGAGGACTGAGGGCAGATGACCCCAGCCAGGTGACTATCTAGCCTCCTCTTGAAGACCTCCAAGCTAGGTGATAGCACCACCTCTCTTGGAAGCCCATTCCAGGTTCTGGCCACCCTTACTGTGAAAAATTTCTTCCTAATATCTAACCTAAATCCACTCTCAACTAGTTTACACCCGTTATTCCTAGTCACTCCCTGGGGCGCCTTAGTAAACAGCGTTTCCCCTATTCCCCATTGACATCTCCTTATAAATTTATAGGCGGCCACAACATCTCCCCTCAGCCGTCTCTTGTGAAGGCTGAAGAGATTCAGCTCTCAACCTCCCCCCCATAGGGTCTATCACGAAGGCCACTAATCATGCGAGTGGCCCTCCTCTGGACCCTCTCGAGATTCCCCATGTCCCTCTTTAAGTTCAGCGCCCAAAACTGGACACAGTACTCCAACTGTGGCCTGGCCGGTGCCGCATAGAGGGGGAGCATCACCTCCTTTGATCTATTAGTCATGCACCTGCTAATGCACAACAAGGTGTGATTGGCCTTGTTGATGGCCTCGTTACAGTGTTGGCTCATGTTCATCTTGGAGTCAGTTATGACTCCAAGATCCCTCTTTGCCTCCGAGCTGCTGAGAAGGACACTTCCCAACCTCTAGGTGTGCTG